CGACGAGTAGCTTCCAGAAGCGAAGCAGCTCTCTTCAGCCCACTAAATAAGCCTATTGGGCTTTTCAAGATCGGCCCATTAAACACGTGACGTTTCGATGGAAACGCGATATTCACGCGGTTTTACTTTTCAACCGACATAAGCGTTTATATATCAGAGAATCTATTGTTAGCATCATTACAAACGTTTACAATTTCTTCTCTAGATCATTCAGTTTTCTCTCTCGCATAAACACGAAATCCAATTTCTAGGTTTTTTTTTTTTCTCATCAATCGTCCGATCGAGAAACCCATACGCTCTTGAATCGAGAAGATGTCATCATCCAACGGAATCTTCGCTCATCAGAGAAACACACACCGGAACGCAAACGCGAACGCTGGGCCGACGTTGTTGAAGAGACGAATCGACAATCGCGGCATGGTTGGAGATTTCCAGGAGGAGAGGATCCGTTACGCGCCGCCTCAGAAACGTGCCAGATCTCAAACGCAAACGCGTGGCGGTATTCCTCTGTATCATCATGGTAGTAGTAACGTGTCTAGGGTTTCAAATTACGGTGATGTGATTGATTCTAATTCAAGCAATAGATTTTCTTTTGCTTTGCGTAATAACGATTCTTCTTCACAATCTAACACCGATTATCAGAAACCTTTTGGTGGTTATTATGGAAACCCTAATAATTCCCAATTGGTTCCGCTTCCTTTACCTTATCGTAAGCTAGATGATGATCGCTCTTTCGATTCGTTACCCGAATGGGTCCCGAACCGGTCGAGTTTTCCAATTAGATCTTCGAATTTTGTACCCAATTCAAACCGGTTTAATCCTCAAGCACATGTGTTTACGAAGTTTCCAAATTCAATGGCTATGAATCATCCACCAAACATGATTTCAATTGTTTCACAAGCAATGCCTCAACCAATTGTTAGCAAAGATTTGGCTGATTTACTTACTGTTATTAACAACGAGAAAGAGAAGCAGAACATAAGTAACAGTGACGAGTCTCCTCTTGGACTCGATTTTGATCCGGCGAAGCTGAAAGTGCGTAATGAATCTGTGATTAAGTCTTTGTATTCTGATATGCCGAGGCAATGTATGTCGTGTGGGGTTAGATTCAAATGTCAAGAAGATCATAGTAACCATATGGATTGGCATGCGAGGAAGAACAAGATGAGTAAAGACGCAAACAAAACCATTGGGAGAGGAAGCCAGAAACCGAAGAAATCGCGAGGTTGGTTTGCGAGTACGTCTTTATGGCTCAGTGCAGCAAATGGTGGGTCAATTGAAGCAGCTAAAGCAGCTTTTAACGTGAATGGTGAAACAC